TGTGAATGGTGTGAGTCCTTTTATCCATGAACTGGTTGTCTTACTTCCATTTCTTCTCATGATCCTGACTTGAGTCTAGTACTCGCATTGAGAGAGATAGGGGACGTCTTAGAAGACTAGTTGACCTCGTAAGCTGCTATATGATTTAGGAAATCCTCTACCGACGATCAGGGTTGTTTGTTGCTATAGAGGTCTGGAGAGCTACATTGGTTTGAGTTAGGTTTGCCTGGGGACAAGCAAATGGTTAAGTGTGGGGGAATTTGATAGACCAATAATTACACATGTTTATACCCCTATTCTTGAGCCGTTGGAGAAGAGATTCACGTGTTTTAAGCCGATTTCACGCTAGGTTGTGTGTTTATGTCATATTTCAGGACTTGGCGTTGACGTTAAGGCGAAGAAATGAGTTTTGGGTCAAAAGGAGGACGTTTGAGTTGAAGGGTGCTGGAGAAGCAAAATACCCGGCCATGAGTAATAATACCCGGCCGGGTGAAATGCTGAGGAGGCCAGGGACTCGTGTTTTTGGGACGTCTGGAGTCCAGGAGGGTTCCCGGCCTAAGAGCATAAATACCCGATTGGGCATTCTGGACCTCGATCTGTTATTATGCCCTTCAGCTCTGCGCATCTTTTTGAAATCCCCGCCCGGGACCCGACCGGGGATCGCGGCCTGCTGGTTTTTAAGGGAAAGAAGGTTGATTTTTGAAGGGTTCCGAGTTTTAGAGAAATAAAGTGATACCTAGAGAGAGAAAGCAACAAACCAGAGTTCCCAAGCGCCTTAGATCGATCTTCATCATCAGTGGAGCCCCGATAATGCTTGGAGAAGTGTCGATTGACGACCAGAAGCAGAACCCCATCCTTCACAGCATGTTTTCTGCTTCTGAGCTAGAGTTTGCTTCTCTCTCCATGGAGTAACTTCCACATTCACCTGGGTATGAAGAACTCTAGATTTGTATGTTAGATCTGATTGTATGAACCCAAGTATGAATCCATTGATTTGATTATATTCAATTGAGGTCTGATTTATTGAATGGCATGAATCCTTATCAAATTTCTGTTATTTCTGCTTTGACCTAGAAAGAGAATATCTCCCTAGGTTGATAGAGCACCCTTGATTGAAGGTAGTGAATTGACGACTTTAGTCAAGGAGTCAATTCACTATTCTGTACCGGATTTACTTCGGTAGATGAGGTTTGGTTCGTTAGGGCCTCAATCTGTTTACTCCGGTGGAGGTTAGTCGCCCGCTGGGGACTCTGATTGAGAGGGTCTGGAGACCTTTAGTCGAGACTGCAGACTGTTTAAGAACCTCCCACAGTATAACTATCTTTGAATTTGAGCTTGGTAAATTACAATCTGGCTTAACTGCAGTCTAGGGGGAACTATATCCGGGTGACCTCTCTCAACTTGAAAACAACCTTTTACTGGTTTGCTTGTTTGTTTACTGAGACCTTCACTACGTTTAAGTCGCTAAATAATAAGGATTCACGGAGTAGTCAGCATACTTAGGACCCATATTGACATTAAAACCCAAACCCGCTATACTACGCTCTAGTAGGTGGTTACACTTGGCCATTTTCCAGTGTGACGGTAGAGGCGAGTCAAATACCTTCCTCACCTTTCGCTCAAATCCGAAGCTCCGTTGGGAAAGAAGATCCAGCCATCATTTCAATACAGATTTTAGCAGTACCCATTTGAGTACCCAGCTTGGTCGATTGATCCATCCACAGTGGCGTACCTAACAGGCTAGCAACCTTGCTCAAACCCTCCACTGTCATGTATTCCAGCGGTAGTTCGCGAATACGAACCCAGATAGGCAGTTTAGAATGATCCATCTTTAGCGACTATACTATAGGAACCCATTTTCGCAGAAAGAGAGGAACATTCTTACAATGCCATGGCCTGTTTTCAAAAACCCAGGTACTCGTCTCCGCACTCTCAAATTGAAACAGAAACATGTTCGATCCGAATACTGATACGAAAAATCTACCATTTCTCCCCCAAAAACGTTGAGCCCAGCAACGAATCATTGCGATCGGCGGAGCTTCTGATAGAAATTGACTGACCAACGCGTTCCGCCACCGAACCGCTCCCTCATCCCGTACTGCTCAAGGGATAACCAATTCTCCATCAACCAAAGCAGGTGCAACATACCGAAGTCGATTGCCTTCACCCACTCCAAAAAGCTGAGCCCAGTTCGCCGACTCCGGCGCAGCCATGCCACCAAACGGGATACACCAGCTAGGTCAGAAGGAGAGAGAAAGAAGAGAGAGGCCAGAGCGATTGTTTAGGCACTGGTTATATAATATTTTGTAGAATGTGTTATACATTTTTTATAACATGAGTATGAATTTTGTTGTGACTAATTGCATCAAAGAGATTTTATTCTATAGGTTAAACAACTGAAATGTTTACCGTTTGAGCTCCTAGGCTGCATGACTAAATCTTAGTTATGTTGATTGATATATATGTGTTTAGTTGTGATTAATAGCATCAAATATACTTTATCCTACTGGTTGAACTCTTGAAATGATTATTAATAAACATGTTTATTTAGTTTTATTTTAATGTAATTAGTAACTTTAAAATGTTAAAATGATAAAAATGACATGGAAAATTGTGGAACTTTCTTTGTCCTAGTGGCAAAAACTTTCTCCACAATGACCATAATATAAGTTAATAAGATAAGATAAGAATAAGATTATGAGAAGTTTAATTATTAATGTTTTAGTCACTTTTAGGCTCATTGTTAACAATATAATGTAATATAGGGTATGTCTACGGTGACTTGCAACTTGCAAGTCAACATAACTTGGAGAAAACGGGCGACTTCTTCCATCAAGTGGTCGACCACTTTACAAGAAAATGGTCGACCTCTTCCACTAAGTGGTCTACCACTTGAGTCATCCGGTCTACCACTTCCGGAAATGGGTCGACATAATGATACACTTACCTTCAAGCGGTCCACCTCTTCCACCAAGTGGTCTACCACTTCCAGAAATGGGTCGACTTGATGACACACTTACCTCCAAGTGGTTGACCTCTTCCACCAAGTGGTATACCACTTGAGTCAATCGATCTACCGCTTTAGAAATGGGTTGACCTGATGACACAATTACCTTAAGTGGTCGACCTCTTCCACCAAGTGGTATACCACTCAAGGCAGCCGATCTACTGCTTCTGGCAATGGGTCGACATGTGACACACTTACCATCAAATTACAATTGCTTGTTGGAGGAGGTAGACTGCTTCCGCCAAAACAGCCTACCGATTTTGAAAAATAGTTTACATATCTCTTTCGGCAAATGATCTCCGCTTTCGGCGACCAGTCAACCAGATAACACTAGGGGTGGACACGCGGGTGGTTAAGCCGCAGGTTGAAATCGATCCACCCGCAAATAACCCGACCCGCAAGCAATGGGTGATTGATGTGGGTGGATTGCGTATTGATAAATCTACCATCCGCACTTATGTGGGTGGTGGGTGGATTGCGGGTCACCCGAATAACCCACATTCTATTTTCACATGAAAAAATGTTGTTTTGACTACTATTATTAGTTACTGTGTTGTGTAATATCCATTAGATATTGGATATGGTAATGTAAATTATTGTTAATATCCATTAAATATTGGGATGAAAACTTTAAATTGTTAATGTTATCAAAATCACAAAATGCGTAAGTTTTCTCTACACAATTGGTTGATAGAGTAGTAAAACTTTTTATGCAAATACTACATGGATTCACTTGAGACAAAGTGAGAAGTGTTCGAATTGATACAGTCTTACTAATTTATTATGAACTTACTATAATGTTAGTCAACTTTCTTAAAGGCTTGTTGGAAAATTGCTTTTGCGAGTTAACCCACGACCCAACCGCACTCATCCGCCACCCACCTAACCCGCAGAAGAATGTGGGTGGATTGCGGGTCACAATTATTCCAATTCGCTAGTAAGTGGGTGGGTCAATTTGACATGAAAACCCACCCAACCCGCCCACTGCCCACCCCTAGATAATACAGTTACCTAATACTTACATTAGAAAAATAATGGACAATAGGAGACCGATAATATAAAATTGTTTTTGTAGTAACGCATCATAAGAAATAAATATGCGTAACATTTTTCAAATCTACTGGAGAACATTCACTAGAGAAACTTGTCATCTATGCTTGCAGCCTTTGTACTAATTTTAAATATCTTACTAAAAACATATCAATTATTATTGGACTCTAATTATATATGATGATATCACTAGGAATGATTCATTAGGTGGATCAATAATTAAAAAAGGTGGACCACTTGGAGAAAGAGGTAAACCACTTGATGGAAGTGGTAGACCATTTTTTTGTATAGTGCCTTTTAGTGGAAGAGGTTAACTGTTTGTTCAACATAGCAAATGAAAAATAGTACATCTGGTGGACCATTTCAACAATGAAGTCGACCATTTTGTCCAAATAGGTCGACCATATTAGTGAAAAGGTCGACCGTTTTGTCTAAATAGGTCGACCTCATCATTGAACATGTCGACTGTTTTGTCCAAATAGGTCGACCTCATCAGTGAACAGGTCGACCGTTTTGTCCAGTTACATTGACTTGTAAGTTTTTGTCAAAAAAAAAATTGACTTGTAAGTCACCATAGCAAAGTCCTGTAATGTAATGTCATCAATATTGATGTAACGTAATTGTTATTAATGTTAATAATTATGAGAAGTTTAATTATTAATGTATTTCGTCTCATTGTTAATACTTTAATGTAATGCTATTATATTTATATAATGTAGGGTTAATAGTATTTTGTATCCCTCTACTATATAAATTAACAAAAACTTATTCATTTATTAAATTTTTGCATAAATATACACTTTTAATATTAAAACGTAACAAGTTTACCGTTCCATCCAATTATCTGTTAAGTGACCGTTAAATGAGATGCAAAATGACTCAATTACCCCTCATTTACTCCTAAACACTTCTAATTTTTATTTTAATTATTTAATGTCCCAAATCAATTAATTAAAAAATTCATTTGCTTGCAGAGATGATATATTGCCAAGCCATGGAGGGACACCGCAGTGAGATTGTTGTATTCGAGATTGAAATACCGGAGCTCCGAAGTACTGATGAGTGGATCAGGAATGTTTCCAACGAGCCTGTTTTGCCCAAGATTGAGGGTAATGAGATTGGACCAGCCAAATATGTTTCGAGGGATTTCTCCTGTGAGGAAATTTGTGTGCAGATTGAGAATCTGGAGGCTTGCCAAGCGGTAGATTTTGGGTGGGATTTCGTGGGATAAACTGTTGTTTTGGAGCAGGAGTTCCCGGAGAGAAGTGAGATTGGCGTTGATGGGGAAATTGTACCCTCGAGGAGATGAGAGTTTAGGTCAAGCCCGATACTTGAATGGATTGATGATTTTTAGCAAATGTCATGCCAAAATTTTCAAAATTCTAGTATAGCATCTTTCAAATTGAGCGTTAGACGTAAGCTATGCTACATGTCTAAAAACTTTAGTAGAAGTTTTGTGATTTCGAAATTGCAATTTGAGTAGAACATTGTTAGTATTAATTTCACTACTAGGTTTGGATTAAATGTCATGTCATTTTACTTGTGCCAACTTCTTGATCCGCCTTTGCCTAATCTTATAACTTGGAGCTTTCAAAGTTTTCAAATTTTCCTTATCCGTACTTTATGCTACTTTTACATTTTGAACTAGAATACTTCCTTTCTTTACATGAGCTTGAATGATAAATAAAGTATATGGGTTACAATCTTGTTAATACATACTTGAGAAGTTATATGATTAGCTTACAAAAGAAGCCACACTTTGAAAGTGTGGGGTTATCCCTTATGATCTATACTAACTTAGTTTCTTTTGAGTAGGAAAATGAATTGATTTCCCAAATGGATGGGTCGACACAAGAAGAAAGGAGATGATGACCATCTTCATCACGAGGACCATGAGGTCCTAGTCCACCCGAGGTGAGCGAGAGCATGTTTCACCCCTACGGTCTACATGACTCAACAAGAGGGAACCAATGATCGTGATAGAAAATGAAGAGAGTTCGAGGGAGTCATGTTCTCAATTCTGATTTGTTCGATGATCCGCTAGTAACAGCAGTGGAGAGCTATGGCCGGATAGTGGGAGATCGAGGAGCAAGAGTGGGCAGCTTCTGCGAGAGGCCAAGGTGTGGGAGACTGATAGCGAGCTGGAGATACAAGAAGACATACTAGAGGCACCCATGCACCCTTTCCCCCAGTTCCCCACTGACATTTGTAGTGCCAAGAAAGTGCAAAAATGGACAGACATACTGGTGGACCCCTAGGGAGAGCTGAACTGGCCATATTTCAACTAGTACCAAGGCTGGGGAGCACCATTGAGATCGAGACTCGACGATGCCGGTCTCTTGTCATTATTCAGCATAAGAGGAGAGAGCAATGGCGTTTTCACTCAAGAGTTGCTCGCAACATTGACAATAGGAGCAACAGGAAGCTCAAGCCAGAGGTGCATCTTCAACAGATTGTTCATGCAACACTTCACTGACCATCATTCAGTTGCCGGCTACTCCTCATTGGCCATCATTCAGTTGCCACTCATTAGGTCTGATTCGGGCCTAAAAGTTTGGTTTTACGCTAGATTTCTCGTGTTTTAGTGTGTTTCAGCGTTTAACAGGTGAAACCAGCCTCAGAGTTGAAAATTGGACGAAAATGATCGAAAATCGGGAGAAGAGGTGAAAAAGGGCCATTTCACGGCTATCCCAGGAAGTTCACGGTCTTGCACGACCGTGAAGAAGAGCCCTTGACCGTTAACCTCGAGACGTCCAGAGCCAAGACAAAGGTTACTAACACAAGGTGAGTTCACGGTCACTAAGACCGTGAACGGAGGTTGTTGACCGTGAATAGAAGTGAACGAAGCGGTGCATTTTGGCGCACGCCTGCAGTTCACGGACGTGTTTCATGGTTCACGGCCGTGAACTGAGCTCGTCTCTGGTTTAAAAGATGAGTTAAAAGGAGGAGAGAGGGGATAGTCCATTTTGTGTGAAAAGCCTTCTTCAGATTTCTAGAGAGAGAAACACGAACCAAGGGAGAAGAAGGCTAGGGTTTTGCTTCAAGGTGGATTTTGGGAAGATTTTCTCCAAGGAAAGTTCAACACAAGGGCCAAGAAGATTGGGAGTAGAGGTGGCAAATGGATTGGATTGGTGGATTGATGGATTGGATTGGTGGATCAATAGATCAAATGGATTGGATCTAATGGATTGGTGGATTCATGGATTGGATCAAGTGGATTGGTGGATTATCCATGAATCCAAATGACATCCTCAACCAAGGACCAATATGTAAAATGTAAAAAGTTTAGGTACTAAAATGTCACAATGAAAAATTTTAGGTACCAAAACGTAATTTTCCAATGATATTTTCGTATAAAAAATTAAAGTTTAGGTACCAAAATGTAAAAAATAAAAATTATAGGTACTAAACCGTAATTTGGCAATGATCCATGAATCCAATCCATGAATCCACCAATCCAATTGGATTTGGATCAAATGGATTGGATTTAAATGGATTGGATTAGGTGGATATTTTTAATGGATTGATGAATTGGATTGGTGGATTGGATTGAAATTGCCACCTCTAATTGGGAGCATCCTCCAAGATGGTTTCCACCTCTTCTCCTTTTGTTTTTCCCATTTATAGCATGGAGTATATCTCCTTTCACTTGGGTGTTGTGAAACCCTAACTCTACAATGTAGCTTCTTTTATGTGAATTGAATGATTGTCATTGGGTATTAGTTAATTCAATGATGAGGTATTATTCATGTTGATTGTGCATGCTTGTGCTTAGCAACCTAAGGGTTGTGCATGTTTTGTGCTTAGCATCCTTAGGTTTGTGCATTTTGGTGCTTAGCAACCTAAGGATTGTGCATAATTGTGCTTAGCACCTTTAGGTTTGTGCATGTTGGTGCTAGCAATCTAATTAGCCACCTTAACCTAGCTTAGAGAGGAAAATCCCCCTTCCAAAGGACTCAATCGAGTTGGTTTTTCTTCAGCTTTTTAAGCCACCTAACTAGGTTAATTTAGGGCAACCCTCAATGTTGAATTAAGCAAGTCGGTTAATCATGATTAAGCCGCCCGACCTTTGAGTTGAGTGAGGGAGTAAGTCAACTACCGATTGCCTAAACCGAGAGGGTCGAGTGACACGGCCTTTAATGTATACCTCGGTTTAGCAATTGAGATTGTGGTCTCCGACCATATATGCATCCCTCTACGGTTCGCGGTTACCTTGCCCAAAGCAATCGTTCCAATTCACATATCATGGTAGTAGTTAGGGGGAAGCGACACCAGAGTGATCCTTCCACAAAAGAGTTTTCAAAACCATTTACCTTTACCTTATTTTATTACAATTAGCAAACTTTTAAACCAAAACTTTGTTGCTAGATAATGATTACAACGACTGAAGTAGGGGTAGACGGACCGGCCTGGGTTGATATCTAAATACTTGCTCTATACTACACCCAGTTAGAGTTTAAAAACTTGGACTCTAGTTGGGATTATATTGTGGTGTAGTTTCGTGCGAGACCAGCTCCATGCTAGAAATGGGACTACCTGAGCATGTATTTGGAGTTGGACACCCACTACCAACACCACCTCAGCATGGCAACTTTGGAGACCAGCTGGCAGAATTGAGAGCAGCCGTAGGACGTACATAGGAGAGCCTTATCAACTACCAGACCATGAATGAGAAACATTGGGATACCTTGGAGCAGGAAAGACATATGGAGATGGAGGATACTTGAGCTTGGATAAGGAGACAACGAGAGGCATAACAATGGAGCCGTTCGTGGTAGAGGACTTCACCAGATCATTTCGAGGCCTCTAGCCCTCTACCTAGGTAGTGCACCACCACCAGGAGGACCCATCATGTAGGAGATGAAGATTTGAGGAAACCAATAGTACTTTTATTTTGTTTAGACTATTTTGAGTCTCTTCAAAACATTTATGGAGAACTAGCTACAATGGAGTATCAATTCGGATTTTAACGACATTCGAGGTAATCCGTTCCAACTTTACCAGAACTCACTATCTTTTAGTCCATTGAGGACAATGTGCATTTTAAAGTTGGGATGATAATGGTTGATATGCTTTACCTTGTTATGATAACTACCTGCTATATATTTAGTCATTAAAATTTGAAAAAATTTCAATGCTAAAATAGTTTTGATATGTGCTTAAAAGTTTTTTAAATAATAAAGATGTTTTTTCATCTAATGACTTTAGTCATCTCCTATAAACATGATCACTTCTCGTCTTATTTTTAATCAATGAGTCTAGCAATCATCACTTGATCTAAGAACGATAGTGTAGTGAGTAGGGACTATGAAAGTTGTCTGTTTAATGAAGCTTATTGTGGGCTTTCATGTTTGCTAGATACATATACAAAGGCCCCACTTACACGTAGATCTTACAAACTTGTCAAATATATGAACTTATCAATGAACTTGTCAAATATATGATCACTTCTCATCTTATTTTTAATCAATGAGTCTAGCAATCATCACTTGATCTAAGAACGATAGTGTAGTGAGTAGTGACTATGAAAGTTGTCTGCTTAATGAAGCTTATTGTGGGCTATCATGTTTGCTAGATACATATACAAAGGCCCCACTTATACGTAGATCTTACAAACTTGTCAAATATATGAACTTATCAATTCATTTATTTCTATGTTAAAATGTTTTGAAGTAAGCATTTCAACACAATTGTTGGACAATCCTACTAATAATAACCAGAGCATCATGATTATAACTATCAATATAGTCAAAATAGCGTCTTAAAGTTAAAATCTTACGATTTTACGTTTCTAGGTCACCCAAAAGCTTCTACGCAAAATTACACTTTTTATAGCTAATGTAGTTAAAAATACGCTTTAAATTTTAATAATTTATGATTTTACATTTCTAAATCACCAAAACGATTCTATATACAAACACGCTTTTTGACTATTGCCCTATTCACTCACCTCACTTTTACATCTTGATTCTTGACTCTTGAGGGTATAAGTTTCTAAAAAAAAAAAACAAAAAAGAAAGAAACAGAGGGTCAATGTTTATTTGGTCCATAAATTTAACTAGAATTTACCCCTTTTCCCAAGAAGATAAAAAAAAGGCTAGAAAAAGCAAAAGCAGAAGCTCTGTTTTTCAGGCTTCAAGAGACTCGCAGTCTCGACTCCCAACTCGCTCAACTCTGTCTCTCTCTCTCTGCTGCTCTCTCTGTCTCTGAGTCTCTCCTTTTTCCCACGACTCAACTGTGCTTGTTCAGTTGTTTGGTTTCCAGTGAGAAAAAGGCAGAAAAAAGTGTCATCATTGACAAGAGCCTCGAGTTTTACTGATCCCCACCATCCCTCTCTCTGTTTCCCCCACTCCCCTGTTTCTTGTTTTTTTCATCCGCCAATCCTTCCTCCCCGCCTTTGTTTTCAACCGTCTGCTTTCTTCCCCTTTCCAGCCATGGCGATCCATTTTCTCCACAAAATTTGGAAGCCCACGACCCCGTTCGCGGAAATCGTAGCTGGGTCACTCTCAATTCAGTAAACGGCAGAAGCAATCAAAATTGTGGTGAAAGAAGAAAAGAACAGGGGAAAAACAGGGGGAGCTCTCTGATTGTTGCTTTTTTTAATTGTCTTCGGCTTTTGTTGGTAAAATGGGCGCCGACGACAGCTGGATAACGGTGCCACCGCCGGCGGCGGCGATGGCGTCGCTGAATTCGGAGAGGGAAGACCACTGGAGGCATTTCGACAACTCGGTCGACGCGGTATCGTTTGGGTTCGTCGCTACAGCGATCCTCATATCGATGTTCTTAGTTATGGCCATTTTCGAGAGGTTTCTACGGCCGAGATCGTCACTGCAGCTCCCTTCTTCTTCGTCCTCCGTTGCCATGGCTTCATCGGATCTCGAGGCACAGTTCGCATTGCATGGGAAGCTCGGCTACCCTTCTCCTAAAGTACGCTTCTTCTCTCAATCATCCTCTTTTCATTTCTCCTTGGCTTTTGTGTTGTTTTCCCTTTCTCCTCTTTGGCTGCCTGGAAATCAGTCCAATTACTACACTAAACTAGCAACAGATTTTCATTATAACAAATCAGCTATTAACTTAAGTAATAACTAATAAGTATGTACTTAGACGGTTGGACGTTGAAGGCATGTGGTGACAATTATTTTCATAATTGTAACAACATCTGTGTAATGACACTATGAATCGTGGAACTCTCGATCCGACGTAACTAATGAACATGTTCTTAGATCAAAACCTGTAAACACAGCAACCTTACCAACTAGCTGGTCATAATAAATAAGAAAATGTTAGGTTCAGAATCACGTTTAACTGTTGGTACCAGAAGGCAATGCAGCAATGCTTGCTTTGTTCACATTATTGGGGATCGTTTGCTTGTTGGATTTGAAAATGAAGGTTTTGAGTTTTAAATTTTTTTGGATTTATGATGGATTTGTTGCATCATGGATTTGGAAGAGTACATTGTTTGTTTAGTTGATTTTTTATCATGGATTTATGATGGATTTGTCTCACATTTTTTCCTTTCTATTGTCAAATCCCAAATGAAATGTGGGATTTACAAATCCGTGGGGTTCACGGATTTGGACCCCTTTTTAGATCCAAATTCGTGGACCCCCTCAACAAACAAAGGATTTGTGTCAACTCCATAATGCTTGGGATTTGAGTTCCAAATCCATCACCCAAATCCCACAAGTAAACAACCCCTGAATGATAGCACTCTCAACTTACTTTTAAGCTTTGCTTTTTTGGCCAAATGTTGACAAACTTACAAATCTGGTTGTGGATTCTGTTTTGCGGCATTATCCCCTTCTTTCGGTTGTTTGCTCCTCAGTTGCTTTTTATATGAATTGCCTGTACGGTGATGCAATAATTTTTCTTCTTTATGCAACCAAATATCTGTTTTAACCGTTTTGCCCATGGGTTCAAATTTATTAAGAACCTAACAATAAAAATAAATTTATATTCCTCAATAACAAATAACTTTCTTTTTATTAGGGTAGAAATGAGTTATCATAATTACAAAAAGCCGAGATTCGATGGAAGGCTGAATGGAATGCAATGATATGACATGCATGATCGATTTTTTACTTTTAAACAAAATTATATTGATTCAGCGAATTTAATTAAGAATATTTTTTAAAAAAATTTGAAAGTTAAATGATGATATTATTTTTTTATTCAGGTATGAATGTTTAGATGTTTATGTTATTTGTTGGATTCAATTATAAATTTTTGGATGTTTACGATAAATATTTGTATTTATGTATGATGATTTTTCAATTTTTAGAATTTTATTTAAATATAGATGTAACTCTTAGAGCCTGAATCATATATATATATATATCTAAATTAATTAAGTGTTGATGATTTTCACTTCCTTACATGTTTTGTTAAAATCAACATGAATTGGTATAAACCGATTATACCACCAGTCATGCTATATCACTTGTCAAACTAACATGATGATATAAACGGGTTCGACAGACTCACTGAATTAATATATACTAAGTCCATAGTTTGTATCAAGAAGAATGATTAGTAACGAGGGGGCAATTATGAAGGCTTTCACCGTTTCTAGGGGCTTTTTTTGGCTTTGATTGAAAGTTTCCTGGGCTTGATTTACGGCGGGTACGGATTAATAAATTAAATTAAAAAAGCACAACAACAATTCCTATGATTATTCATTGGGAAAATGAGTTTGTGTGGACTTCTTTTGATAGCTTAGCTAGCCTAGTGGAAGAGTGGGGGCTGTTTGCATTACGTCAATCATCATAATTAATCACGCTGCATTATCCCATTGTTAATAATATATACACTCATAACGGCACTCTAACGCAACCCCTTTTCCTCGTTAATCTCGGAATTATTACTTATAGTGCTCATCCCGATGGAGGTTTTTTTGTTTATTCTTTTTCAGTTTTCACCACTACTTGTATTGTAGAAAACGAATCCTGTGTATAACCAATTAACCATCAATCTATTATATGCATAATTATTTATTTCATTAATATTTAACGAAATAAATGTCATTTGCTTTTGTTAGATTTTAATTTTTTCACAAAAATCATATTGATTATTCAATAACAGCCACTTTCGTATATTTTGTAACAAAAATAACACTTTAATCTAGTGTACCACGTTATATCATGATGATACATAGGGGTGGAAATTGGTACGGTATCGGTATCCAAATATCAAATACGGAAATCACGAATACCGAATTACACCCTAAAGTCAATCCCGATCCCAATCCCTAAATAATATCGGTATCCCAATTCCAATCTCTAAATATTTCGGTATCACAATCGGTATTATCGAATACGAAATTAATTACCTTTTCAATTAATAATTAAATATATAAATTAGATTTTATTGTTTAATTTAGGAGAAAAAGAATAAGAAAAGAGTTTTGAATTAGGCCATTATTAAGGAGAGTGGAGGAGAGGAGACATCTCAAGTTCTTGTCATTGATAATCTTTAATTTGACGAATTGGAGGTTGAGAGACGACTATTAATAGTGATGGAATGATCTGTGTATAATTAAATGACACTTTTGGTGGTTGAGGGTCATGTAGCAGTAAACGAGAGAGTCTAGTTGAGAGGATAAAATACAAACTAGCTTATATTTTGGTATTGATCGGTATTTCGGTATATCTCGATCCCAATCCCGTAATCTCTAATACCGAATAACAATTGAAATTCAATCACAATTCCAATCCCAAGAAATAATACGTGTATTCGGTAATACCAAATATAGACAAATTCGGTACGGTATTCGGTATATCCCCAATACTGGTACCAAACTTCCAGCCCTAATGATACATCATGAGAGTATAAAAGATTATATCATATGATAATATGAAAATATATAATATTGATAAGATGATATATAGCTGGTGGGCAATGGGCGGGTTGGGTGAGTTTTCGTCTCAAATTGACCCACCTGCTTACTAGCGAGTTGGAATAAAGTGATCTGCAATCTACACACATTCTTCTGCGGCTCGGGTCGGGTGGGTGGCGGATGGGTGCTGTTGGGTCGTGGGTTAACCGGCAAAAACATTTTCCAACAAGCCATTAAGAAAGTTGACTAACATTTATAATAATCGCATAGCAAATTAGGAAGACTGTATCAATTTAGACACTTCTGACTTTGTCTCAAGTGAATCCATGTAGTAATTTGTATAAAAAAATTTACTACTCTATCAACCATTTGTGTAGAGAATCTTACGCATTTTTTTGGTTTTGGTACAATTAATAGTTTATAGTTTTCATATCAATATTTAATGGATATTAACCATAATTCCTATTCCTATATCCAATATTTTTTAATGTGAAAAAATGTAGTATCAATTTAACAAGTATCCATTAGAAATATACAGTTAGACTAACTGTAGTGCTGTTTGGAAATATGATTAATATTCGATACTATAAGAAACGACATTCTTTCATGTGAAAATCGGATGCGGGTTATTCGAGTGACCCGCAATCCAATCACCACCCACCCACATAAGTGAGGGTGGGAGATTTATCAATCCGCAATCTACCCACATCAATCACCCACTGCTTGCAGATCAGGTTATTTACGAGTGGATCGATATCAATTCGCGGATTAACCAACCACGTGTTCACTCCTAAATTTATTGTTTTTCGAGGCAAGTTTGTTAAAAACAAAGGGATAATCAAGATCCAAATATTGTTATCCATATATTTAGAACAAAGAGTTACGCTTCCATCGTAGACCTTACCTCTCTTTTATTTATGTACTTGTTTTCATTTCATTTTAACTGAAATTTCCGTTTTTAGTCGAAAAGGGGGAAGCTATATGGAACTTCTTCTGAATTAATTTTTAAAATTCGTCAATTAAAAGGATAAATGTTCAATAAACTAAATCTGGTTTATTGTAGGAACATGAGGACTAATAATTAATTAATTAATAATAATGGGTCCATTATATTCCATCATGCACGCCCTTCATCATGTGGATTTTGTCTCCTAGTGTCCCCTTCCGTAGGTACCTTGCTTTTCCCCGCCTCTCCTCGATTATTATAATTAATTATTGCTCCAAATAAAACGCCGCCTACTACTATATAAACATTTGCTAGGTAGGTTACTAGCAGAGGATCTTCTCTTCTGATACGACCATGGACAAGAGCCCACAAAATGCTCAATTTTCAACACACTCAATTTTCAACACACTACTACAATACAATTTTTTTTTAAATAAAGTATGCAATGCATTAGGGGTGATAGTCGGTGACCGGTTAGTCGGCTAGGTTAAAAGTGAAACGAAAAACTCGATTAATATGCTAACCGAAAATCGATAAAAACATGTAGGTCTCGGCTTCGGTTTGGAAGATTTAGGTTATTAGTTAACCGCTGGTTGTCGGTTGCAAACCGATTAAAAATCAGTGCACCGATACATAACCGAGGGCTCTCCTCCCCATCAAGAAGATCGAATTCTATCTCTGCCGTCGAGTTCTTTTCCTCTCCTTGTCGGTTGCAAACCGATTAAAAATCAGTGCACCGATGCATAACCGAGACTCTCCTCCCCCATCAAGAAGATCGAATTCTATCTCTGCCGTCGAGTTCTTTTCCTTTCCTTGTCGGTTGCAAACCGATTAAAAATCAGTGCACCGATACATATCTGAGGGTTCTCCTCCCCCATCAAGAAGATCGAATTCTTCCTCTGCCGCCGAGTTCTTTTCCTCTCCTTCTCTACAATTCCTCTTCCTCTTCTTCTTTCCCCCTCCACCACAACACCTAGACCCTAGCCTACAAATCATTTCCCCTCCTCCATGAACCCTGATTTCAAGCATCTCGGTCGTCGCCCCGCCGTCCGCCATCCTTTTTCGCCGGCCTCGAAGCTTTCATCTCACGACCAATTGTTGACCCCAATCTTGACAATCGCTGACTCGTTGACCCCAATCTCCACTCGGAGACCTCTTATCGTGGACCCAAATCGCCACTCGACAACCTCTTATCGCTGACCTCAATAACCCAAATCGGAAACCGTATTCCCTTCCTTCTTGACGTCAGTGGCGGATTCAGAAAATTTTCATAGGGGTGTCCTCTTAAAAATTAAATTTAATTAAATAATTCGTATATTAAAAATATCATACTTGTATAATTTTTTTATTAAAATTCATGACGTGTTTTCATATTTTGAAAAAATAATATAAATAAACTCCGTATCTGCACTGTTAAAAAAAAATCTACATATCCTACTAGACAATACTTCACGAACTTATCACATATTCGATTTCTA